ACTCCCCCCCCCCCCCCAATCCATGGTCCAGTATTCTTTCCACTGCCTCACTGTTCTTTCTCTCCCTCACTCTTGGGAGAGAAAATGCTGTACTCCCTCCCTTACTTTCTTCTTGCCTAAGAATTACAAAATGAGGGGAAAAAAGGCAGCAGGTTCATACACAGTCTATATACCTGGACACCTGGTAATTTTAACACTATAAGGTCTGAACGTAGGCAAGGCAGTATTATACAATGGAAATTTATTTAATGGATCCTTTTATTTCCAGAGGAAGCACAGTGATAAAAGCCTGTTTCTTTAATACTCATTATTCTGGGTCCTACTTGTTAAACATACTATTAAAAAAATCAAAAGCAGCTTTTGAAAGAACTGTAGACAGACTTCTTGGCTATATATATCAATGAAGCAATGTCTATCACTAGCTTTCTTATAAAATATAAATTCTCTTCCATTGCCACAGAGGCTAAACTACAACAAAACTGACAGGGGGAGGGGTGCCTGGGTGGCTCAGTTGTTAAGCGTCTGCCTTCGGCTCAGGTCATGATCCCAGAGTCCTGGGATCGAGTCCCACATCGGGCTCCCTGCTCCGTGGGAAGCCTGCTTCTCCCTCTCCCACTCCCCCTGCTTGTGTTCCCTCTCTCGCTGTGTCTCTCTCTATCAAACAAATAAATAAAATCTTTAAGAAAAAAAACTGACAGGGGAAAATAAAGGAACAGAGGTTCAAGGAAAGTGAAAGTAAATAAGAGAGGCACTTTTGGATAAACACGTTATTGCTACTAAGCAATTCACCTTTTAAGGAAAATGTTATATTTTCATTTGTCACAGTAAATGCACTTTTTTAACAATGTTGGCATTCAACAAAAGAAACACCTCAAAGTGATCAAGGCTCAGCTTGATACTGTAATTCAGTTTCTGCTTTCTGCACAAACTCTGAATACCTGCTGGGTGCATATTCTATAAGGAACAGGCAATTTTATCCAAGATCCAAAGAAACTGGGCATTTTCTTTTATGTTTTTATGAAGTTCTAACTGAAAACCCTGGGCTAACAAAATTAATGGCATGCAATATATGGTCCTTTCAAGCTTATAAAAACCAGCCACATATGAGAGTCTTCTCTTAAATACAGGACCTCCTGGTCAAAGAACAAGCTTATAAAATGGATTAGGGAAGAGCAACAAGCAAATATATGAATCTGCTTCCTTTGTTAGGTTTTCATTGGACAAATGTGGGTTTTCCTTGATCCCTCTGGTTTTCTTTTTTGCATATGCATTTCCAATGTCAGTATTTTGCATCCTCACTAGCAATAAATATTATCAACAAAAAAAATTTGTTAACTAATAGGCAAAATAGAGTATTCTAGTTATTCTAATTAATATTTATTTGAATAGTATTACAATTTTCTCTGTTCCTGTAATTCACCCATTTCCTTTTTCAGCTTCTTATTGAATTGAAGGGACTCTTTATGTATTGAAGGTATTAGTGAGTCACTGCTTTAAATGTTTCTCTGTTCAATTGTTTTCTTTTTTGATGGGATTTTTATATTTTTACATAGCTAAATCTACTGAGTTTTCTCTCTGTATTCTAGAATAGATGGCCTTTTGTATCCAGAGATTGCTGTTAATTTCTCTTTTCTTCTGATTCCTTGATAGAATAACTTTTTTATGTTAAAATATTTAACCTATTTGGAATTAATTTTTGGTCATCTGAAGTAAAGATTTAATTTTTTTTAAATAGTTAAGTGACAATTGTTTTAACTATTTACAAACTAATACTTCATATTGATTTATGGACCTTTATCATATGATATGTATTTTTGTGTAGTAAAGGGTCTGTTTCTAGGATATCTATTTTTCTTTGTTAATAGATTTCCTGTCATTTTTGTTCTAGTAACATAGTGCTTAAACTATTTCAACATATAGGAGGAAGCAAGTAAATTAGCACATGGTTTAGCGTACAATGAGCCTGAGTTCAAATCTCAACTGATCCACTTAATAACTTCATGTTCCTAAGTACATCTTTTATCCTTATAAAATTCTTAGTTTGTAAAGTTTATTTCATTTTATAACATGTTTTAATAGGGCTAATCCTGTCATTCAAGATTTTCTAGACTTTTTGTTATTTATTTTTAGTTATTTTCTTCTGTTTTTTCAAATAAGCATTGATAATTATTTTTTACTTTGAATTTTGATTTCAATTGAAATTATATTAAGCCTATAATTTATCTTGGGGAGAATTAACAGTTTTAAATACTCAGACTTTATATCTCAAAACATCGTGTGTCCCTCTACACTGTTCTGTCCTTTAAAGAATCCTTCATTTTCTCGATATTGCTTGATTTTCAATTCTCACTGAAGTTAAATCAGCTTTTTATCCTCTGTGAATTCTTTTTAATATGGTAAAAATAATAAACACCAAATGAATGTTTTCAATAGGCCTAGGGAGTTTTTTGTTAAAGGCTTACTTATAAAGGCTAACTCCTCCAGCCAAATAAATAAGCAAACAAATATAATACATAATCAGTACAACTAAAAACCTCTTTTTGAAAGATAATTTGGAAAATGCTGCCTTTTGTTCCTACTCTGTAGAAAAAGTGAGAATAAGAATATTTATTCATGTAAATTCTTTCCCTGACCTAAAAAAAAAAAAAAAAAGGAAAAGGAAAAAAGAAAAAGAAAGAAGAGAAAAGAAAAGGAAAAAAAAATAATGTCCCATTGGTATTGGTTTGGATCTTGGCCCTGGTTGTCTTCTCTGCTATGTTTGCTGCCAGGCTTGAAAGTCTGTATGGTTGAGTACACTACCTCAACCAGAGAAGAGACAATATTCAAATGGCCACGGAAGAGTCTGCCATTCCAGCAGCAATAAATGATTTTCAGTTATTGTGAAAGTGGAAACTCAGAGGACTGTGTCATAAATGAGAAGGAGCTGGGGTAACAAAGGATGACAAATCACTTGACTATTCCATGAAGGACATCTAACTCTTAAAATACATTTTATTTGTTCTAATTAGAGGCATAGCTTTCTAGTAGGTATTGTCACTGAAAACACTGGGATATGCAAAGTTTTTATATAGATCTCTTCTTTCCTTTCCTCTTTAATTACGTTGATAGTGGCACCCAAGACATTTTACTAGTTTCTCAAACAGTGCCAATAAAAAAATGAGATTACCTCCTACTTTTAAGCTCTTCATCACACTATAGCAGACAATTTTAACTCTACTTACTCAGCTATCTATTGTACTATTCAGTTTGGCACATTTCTTGGGGTTCTCTAGCATTTCATGGCCATTATTTGTCACCTCCAAATTTACTAAAAATCTCATTTCATGCAAGAGTTTAGTTTTACCTTCTATTTACATCTGTTTATTACATCCCAACTCTCTTCCTTTGTTAAAGTTGAAAAATCATAAGTGGCAGCATTTTCATTGGATGCTATTCCAAAAACTCCCTGACTCAGTTGGCTCTGAATCCACAGGAGATAAGCACCTTCCTTCGGTATTAACACACTTAAAAGTCTTAGGTGTGTTCATTTGGATGACATTTACGAACCTATCTGCATCATAATCCATCAAGTTATAATTTTGCTTTAAAAATTACAATACATTTAGAGAACAGGAACTATATCCATTTAGCTTCCCTCATAAAGTACTTAGCAAGTGCAACAAACAAATGCATACTTACAAATGTTCCTCATGATCATGATAATGGCACACAATCATTGACTTTTTGGTTTCTTAGAAATTATTTAGTTCATTGACACTAGACTAACTTGGCAAAATGACATACACGTTCTTGGCTACCCAGTACATTACTGTCACATTTTTGACATTCCTAAGAAATCATATTATCAAGAAAATTCCTCATGGTTATTTTCTTTATAGAGTAAAATCAAGCAGAAAAAAACATTAGATAACCCAGAGTCCAAACTTCTCTTAGGGACAAAACAATTCATAATAAAAACAGAAAAATCCATGCAAACAAACCACTTTGCTATAATAACTCTACACCCAGGCCCCAAAAATGTAGGATTTGCTTATTTCCAAGATTTAAAAGTCACAATTCTTATTGGCTAGAAAACAAAAAGTGCACATTTTCCCCCCATCTTTGGGCTCATAAAATGACTGAACTAGAAAAAAACTTAGTGAGTATTGAATTCCAATCTTTTACTGAGCTGTCTCTACAGATGCTGTGGCATTATAAGTGAGCTGTCATCTACGAAACAATGACAGCACAGATTTCATGTTCATCAATTGAGAAATCAAGGGGAAAATAAATCACTCTCTCTCCTGAGAGCAGATAGGCATTTAAATTATAATATAAATTACTCATTTCCCTGATAGAAAAATTTCCTTGATTTCTGAGGTTAAGAAATATGAAATTTAACCCCAGCTCATATTTATTGAACGATTTATTATATTACAATAACAAATGAGTTATGTTGAATTCCATCAAATTAACTAATTAATTGTCCTCCATGATTTCCACATAGACTCACATGAGACCAGAATTACAGTGTTCCATTATAAAAGTAATATATAACATTAAGACATAAAACGTTAATCCTCAACCTGACCGAGACCCACCTAAATGTACATACAGGTAATTGCTTATGGATTTGCTACTCATCTCCCACTGCTAATCATAGTCCAGACCACACTATAAATTTGGTTACTCTCAGAGTTCAGGGGAAATTTAAAAATAGGAAGAATTTAGAATTTAACCCATTTATTTGCTATGGGCTTCTTTTGTACACTAACTCTGTCAATTTACCAGTCTCTAAAATACTCAATAATTCACAGCAGCCCATACCATCCCCAAGCCTCTCCCCTGCATTTTCCCACTGAGATAATTTTTATAAGGTTAGCAGTAACCCCAGTTATCGTTCTCCCATAGTTATTGTTTGGCTCTATTACATTGGACACTATACACCATTCATTCCACACAACTTTTTATCTCTTCAGCTTCCTTGGACAAATCTTTAATTTGGTGTCTTTGCTTCTAACCTGGTCTTTGTCCTTGCCAATCTGTGTAATACCAGCAAGGTGACTCATATAAAGTGCAAATTCTACTTCATGTCCTGTTTAAAGCCCTTCAATTTTTCAGCAACATCTTTAGGCAAAAAGACCAAACTTCTTAGCAATTCCAAGCTCCTCCATGACATGACCTCTGGATACCACCCCCGCTTGGCCTCCCAACACCATGATATTTTCCTCACATTCCATGATAGTTCACACCTCTGAGCCATTATTCATGCTATTTCTTTCCTTGGAATAATATCCCATTCTGGACATGTCCTGTTTACCCTGACACAGTTTGCCCTAGAAAGCCTCCTAACTCTCCCTCCCAGAAGCATCTGCATCCTCCATTTTAGAGAGCACAGCATCACATTTTGTTCATATACTCGACTCCTGCCCCCGCTAGCTTGTTGGTAAAGCAGAAGATATGCCTCTGGAGCTGCCTGCTTGCTTTCTTCCTTCCTTCTTCTGTCCATCCCTTTCTCCCTCCCTCCCTTCCTTCCTTCTCTTAACAAATAATTACATTTACTAAGAATAACCATTTTAATAGGACTTCAATACAGTGGTGAGCAAAAAGATTATTACCATAATTATGCTGAGTCTATTGGAGGAAACTTGCTACAGCAATGATAACACTTTGAATATATAGTTACTAATGGAGATAAGTGCCCTTAAGAACAGAAATATAGCAGCATATAAGAAACAAAACCTAAAATTGTCTAGGTGGCTTATTATAGAAGAAATGACACCTGAGCTGTGATCTAAAGATCCCAGGTACATGTGTGGGTAGGGGTGAGCACGGTGGTGGAGAGTACTGTTAACATATGGATCAGGATAGAGATAAGGTGGAAGGAAGCAAACAAAACAAAAATGAACCAAAAGGCAGTGTTGTTGTAGTGCAGAGAAGAAGAAACAGTTGAATCAAGATGAGAGGTAGGTCAGGACCAGAGCAGAGAGGCCATTCTAGGCCATCATGAGGATTTTCTATCTTTATCCTAGGAGCAATGGGAAGCTATTAAAGTAATTGAAGCAAAAGAAATGATTTAATTTGATTCAGGCTTTGAAGCTTCAGTGGCTACAGTGCAGAGAATGGATTGGAGGTGACAGCTATAGTGAATTCAATCAGGAGTAGACCAATGCTGGTAAAATCCAACAACACCAACACCATCCCTACCTGCACAATAGCTAATCTGAAGAGCTGGACATGCCTGGAAAAAATTCACAATTATTCTGAGCTGTCTCTCTTAAATTTTGGACCACATACCTTAGTAGGCCTCTTGGCACATCTCAGAAGGGCTACTGTGCTTCACTCATCAACTTACTATTTCAAATGATACATGATACCTTCCTCCATCTCCTCAAAATTCAGCATACCTTCCTCCATCCTCAGTCTCAGTGATAACCTTTCTATTTTTTTCACCAAGGAAACAGAAGGAACCAGAAGAGAAATCCCATTCCTTCTACTCCAAACTCCCCAATCCATCTGTAGCCATGCTCTGCAACCATCTTCTCTGTGTCCCCTCCTGTTAGGAAGCATGAACTGCTCAGCTGCCTTCTCTGCGGTCAACTCCTCCACTTGCACAGTGAATCCAGTTCTCCTGGAGTACATGAGGAGGCACATGTAGACCTTGCTTCTGTGATTATACCCTCTATCACTCCAGCAATATCAACTCTTTCCTCTCTACTTCATTCTCATTGTTCGCAGAAGTATGTAAACATAGTTGCTCAAATTAAATATATGTGTATGTGTATATATTTTATATTTCTACGTATGTATTTGTTACATGTCCTCTTAACTTATATCTCCCTTGTCCCTATATCCTCCTTCCTTCAGCTACTGACTTACTGCTTTATTCCATTTTATATCGAAACTCCTTAGAATTTGCCCAGTGGTGTTTTGGCAAATATTTAACAGCCAGGTCTTTAAAAACACTTTTTAAATCCTTTTTTTGTGATATCTGTCAATTTCTGTGGAATAAATACACTGTGATGATTTAAAGCTATTAAGCTTAACCTCAGTGAACAAGGAGTTGGAAGAGAAGCACTCAATGATCCAATGAGCTCACAGGAGCTGGCCCCAACATATCACTGGGTTTGTCTATACGGACCACCTCTGCTTCTCTTACTATCTCTTGGACCTACTTCAGACAGGCTTCTGTTCCCAATACTCCATTAAAAACACAGCTCTCAATGTCATTAATTCAGTCCTCAATTTACTCCACTTCTCAGAAGCAGCATTTGTTTCAATTGATCAATGCCTTTTTTTGAAACAATGTCTTATTCTGTCCAGGATTCAAACTCTCCTGATTCCCCTCTTATCTCCATGGCCACTCCATCTTTTTCACCTTTGCTGGACTCTATGTGTTGAAAGTCTCAGGACCCTGTTATACTTCTTCTCTATCTATACATATTTCTTAAAGTAGCTACTCTTGATAGGACAGTGATACTTTGGAGGAGCAGCTTTCAGAACTTGGGGAGGTAATTTGATTCTCACAATGATGATCAGCAGTTAGTTACTAAAGTTTGGAGGGTAGGGGTTGGAGACATTAGATATCCTGTAACATTGTGGAGGATGGGATGCTACGTAACAAGGAATTATCCCATTTCCTGCTTGTTTTTCGAATTACTTGCTGGACATTCATGTAAATGAAAAACTCATTTATCAAAAATGCTAAGTTTTTACATGACCTAAATAGGCACTAAAACATCCCAAGATTGCAACCACCCTGCAAACTGCAGTTATATTGTAAACTATTGTGTCTAGAACTTAACCAAAAGAAGTTCCCTATTTTGGAGAATCACACCATAAAGAAAATAGTGCTCATAGTATTTCAATTGTATTGGGATCCTGTATTTAGAACTCTTATTCATGATCATTCTGTATGTGGGTTAAGTCACATATTTCATTATGACTTCTAGAATAGCCATGCTTGAAAATTTAAATATGAAATGAAATCATTTACTATAAATTATTTTACTTTAATAGCTTCTTTATACTAAGGTTAGGACGAATATAACCAATATATTGGTTTTTAAAAATCATTTGTGTACATAATATCTGTAAAGTGCATATTAAGAATGTAAAGTGGGTATATAAAATGCTATAAAATGAATATAAATTGCTATAAAATGTACATTAATGTAATGACATACAGGGCAAATACATACAGTGTGAATATATAACATATACTATGTAAGATGTATATAAATGTATATTAAAATGTTTATAAATCTTACATAGATGAGAATTACTATTCTAGCTGATCCATGAATATAATAATTCCCGGGTTTGGATCTCTACCCTGACTTCCAGGGTCACACATGCAATGGCCTATTCAACCTTACTTTTTGAAAGTCTAAGAGGTATCTCAAATTTAAACTGTACAAAATGGAATCTGAATGCCCACTCTTGTGCTCCCTGATGTGCCACAAAGTTCTTTAACTCAATACACAGCAGCACTGTCCATCCACTTACTTACTTACTCTAAATACTTTATCTCTGATTCTTAACTCTTCTTTTTTTTAAATTTTTAAATTTTTTTAAAGAGTTTATTTATTTGAGAGAGAGAGCAGGGGGAGGGGCAGAAGAAGAGGAAGAGAGAATCTCAAGCAGACTCCACCTTAAGCGTGGAGTCCAATGTGGGGCTTGATCCCACGACCCTGAGATCATGACCTGAGCCAAAATCAAGAGTCGGCCCCTTAACCAGCTGAGCCACCCAAGCACCCCATGATTCCTAACTCTTCTTACATCCCGCCTCCAATCTGTCAACAATAGCTGTCAGATATACCTTCATAACCCATCCACTTTTCATGACCCTGTCACTGTCACCCTATGTCTAACTAGCACTTTCTCTTGTCTAGACAGCAGCAAGGGCTTCTCTCTAAACTCATCACCTAATTCCCACTCTAGCTTACCCCCATCATATTCTCTATACAAAAGCCAGAGTTACCATTTTACAATGTTAGCCAGACCCTAATCAAAATCCTCCAATGATTCTCTATAAGATTTAAAATAAAACTGAAGTCCGTAAATGCTTACCATGTCTGGTCCAAGGGTATTCTCAGATTTTATTTCCTACATTTCCACTTACTCAGTTCCAGCAACAACGCACTTTTAACTGGTCCTTGACCACAAATATTTGCCTGCTTCAGGGTTTTTACGCTTTCTCTCATCTCCCCCATTATTACTCCTCCGGATTCAGAGCTCTGTTCAGAGGCTTTGCAGACCTCCTGTAATGGTCCAAATCCTACCAAAACCAGGAATGACTACATAATTTAAGTGGAAGGAATTTAATACAGGGAACTAGTGACTTAGGTGAGGGAAGAACTGAAGTTAAAAGACCGTGAGGAAATACAGAGAATAGAAAGAAGCTACTACCATCATAGGGGCTTGATGGGGCACCAGGCTACCAGACCCCATAAACCAGGGCCATATGGCAGGAGATAAAACCACTACTGAAGCATCATTAAAATGATGATACATTCCCCACCCCAACAAAATGTTTGACCTGTTTTCTGCCACTCTCTGAATTCCGACCTTTTCCCCCTTCTCCATAAATGAAATCATTTAAAATAAATAAATAACCGCAGCCTGACAACCACTAGGTAGTATGTATTAAAACAAAATGGATATCATTCAGATGTAGATTTCTAAACCATGTCTTTTTTCTCAATCACATAAAAATGCAAGTCCTCCTATAGCCCGTAGTGTCCAATGCCCTGCTTACCTCTCCGATCTATTTCCTACTGTTCTCCCCCTCTCCAACTCTATTGTAGCCCCACTGGCCTCCTTGTTGTTCCTTGAGTATCCAAACTTATCCCCACCTCAGGGACTTTGCACTTACTCTTTCCTTAGTCTAAATACACTTCTTCCTGAAATCCACCTGACATCCCCTCATCTCCTTGTATGTAACTAAACACCCAGTCTAAAACAGCACTCCCACCCTTCATCATTCTTACTCCCTTACCTTTATTTTTCTTCATAGCATTTATCACTATCTAACATATTACACCTTGTTTTTTGTTGTTGTTGTTGTTGTTGTTGTTGTTGTTTACTGGAGATCTCTACTGACTAGAATACAGTCTCTAGGAGAGCAGAGACCTTGTCTGTTTTGGCCGATTCTGTATCTCCAGACACAGTGCAGTGTCTGGTATACAGTAGGTATTTAATAAATATTTAATTATTAGCCTAAATAACAAAGAGATTAAATGTTATCTTCCACAAATGTCTAACCATGATAATTTGCTAGTCAAAGCAATAACAACAACAAAGAGTATCTCTAGTCACTCCTTTGTAGATGTAGCAATTGAAAACTCATATTTATTATGGGCTTAAGCTAAACCTTACACTATGTGAACATTAATTATGTAAAACCCAGATATTTCATATATACAAGTATGATTTGTGCTGTTCAAAAAAGCCAGTTTGCTCAAACTTACTTTGGATCTGCTTTTTGGGCATGTCCTCCAAAATAGGGTTGGTATTCAAGAAGAGTACTTTTAATTCTTTGCTTTTTTTTACAGCCACCAAAAGCCATTCACAGATACATATGGTATAAGGTAGATGCCACAATTGTTCTAAAACACGTTCTCAGAAAATAATAACATTATTATAATTTGTGTGGTCATAATCTGACCTGCAAAGAGTTCCCCAAATGAAAAAAAATACCTTAAATGCATTACACATATTCTGTTTTAAACTTTTCATAAACAATCAGCTAGATGAAGTATAATATATACCTGGCCAATTTGGTGACAGAAATAAATAGAGAATTATCAACTCTTTTTTTGGTCTAGTCTTCAACTAAAATCCTATCTAAGGTTACTTGTAGTATGAGTATCAATGTATTATGTATTGAGGCAAATTCATGATGTTATATGGCCCTGTTTTCCCACTTTTGATCCTCAAAGTGAACTATATCTTCTGACTGTAGCAATATTTTCCAATAGACAATAAATCGATAGAAATTGATACCACTGATTCAAGAAAAAGTTGTTATATGATATATACAATAAGCCTTCTGTTGCATATTTATCCAGTTGTCAATCCATTAATTATTGAATGGAAAAGAGACAAAATTTTTAGAATAATTTCAATACAGGTATTATACATAGAACGCTTTTGTAGTAAAACTTAACCTCTCTAGAGTAAGCTGCTATTTAGACTACTAAAAAAACCAACACTATATAACATTATCTCAGACATTATTCAATAGTAATGATATCTAATGCACAAAATAACAAAATATTTTGGATAGTTAGAATGATAATCAAACCAGTAGGCAATCTGTGACCATGTATTGAAATTGGAAAGCATGACTGATTCTAGAAAAGCAACAAAATATTAATATGATGATAAATCCCCTTGAGTAATTCACTCTACCCACTCTACCACCATCATTTCAAGGAAAAACCTAAATCGTGTTTGAGGTTTGAAGGGTCTTCCAAACTTAATAAGCCTTTCACATACTTAAGGGGTGCAACAAGAGTCCTGGTTAAAATAAAAAGCTAGACAATAAATCTGAAACTTTGAGGCCTCCTTGTCCTGGGATATGCAGCTGCTTAAATTGCTTCTTGGTCACTTTGCTGCTGGGTATCATTGATTAGTCTTGGAAAGATCATCGATGGGGCAGTCTTTCGACCTGCCCAAGGCAGAACATATTTCAGGGAAGAAAAAGATAAATGTAAAATATCTGTCAGTTTAGAAAGGCAAACCACTGATATTCAAATTTTAAGCACCCCTTTGATATTTCCTACCCCTGTTGCTCTTAATACTAAGTTTTAATCAATTCTTTTAGAACAAAATCCAATGATCTTAGGAGTAATGTTCCCAGTTTTCCTTCCATAATTATAATTCTATTGTTTTAAGACAGCTAAACCTTTTTTTGAACTAAAGTGCCAGACATTATTTAGTGCAGAGTCATTTAGGGGTTTTATGCATGAACGCTTGACATTTTTTTCCAAGTCAACAAATATTTAAAGTCAACAACCACGAAGGTTTATTAATTGAAATGCATCTGACTGGAACTGAACTCTGAATAGAATGATCTTGTTTCTCCCTCAATGGCACAGTACATAAAAAAGGAGGATAAAATTAAAACTAGTAGGTGTTCTTAAAAGGAAAGATTGAAATAAATGATGAGGTAATCATTTATTTTAGTGAGCTACTGACAACGGAAAATAATTTTATGAAGAAACTCAGTAACAATAGCTAGTAACAATCCATCATGAAGTTTCTCCTTACCATGATGCAGGGGCGCCTGGGTGGCTCAGTTGGTTAAGCAACTGCTTTCGGCTCAGGTCATGATCCCAGAGTCCCGGGATTGAGTCCCACATCAGGCTCCTGGCTCAGCGGGGGTTCTGCTTCTCCCTCTGACCCTACCCCCTCTTGGGCTCTCTCTCTCTCCTTACCATGATGCATTAAATTATATCTTCACTATGCTGCTTCCCTTCAGATATAGAATTTTATCAATTACCATTCATTACTGAAGTTAATTCTTATTATTATAATTATATTATTATATATATATTATTATATATAATGTTGACAATTATATTATTATATATTATATTAATTATATATATTTTTATTTTTTTTCATTTTATTATATATTTATATATTTATATATATAATAATAATAATTAATATATATATAATATATATAATATAATATATATTATATATAAATGTTGACAATTATTATATATATAATATATATATATTATAATTATAATATAATTCTGAATAGGTCATAATGCTCAAAGATCTTTTGACTAATCTCATCATTTTCCCATTAAATAATATGTTGTTTATTTTCTCCATTTTCATAAAGTCTCCAATTACAAGCTGGCTGTCCTTTCTATAGATAAAGAATTTACACACTGTAATCTTTAACTCTATGATATAAGCTCCTCCAATGTCCTTCTTTGTAAAATACCCCCTTCTCATCACACAATGTCTTGTCCTTTCCTGATTTTTACAGAAATTAGTTCCCCCCTTTCCAGTGCTAACTTCTTAAACCTGTGCTTGCAAATCCATTCCTTCTAGTCCTCTTTCCATTCCCACTCCTCCACTGACTCTCCTCCTCTGCCTTCCAGTACCAGTAAGTCTTTCCTTGATTCTAATTCATCCAACTAGCAAATTATTAATACTATTTTTGTTATGATGCCCCAAATCTTTCAAAAGTTCTCTAGCATCTCTAAGTTATTTTAGTATCTTGTCAAGGCATTCAAGATCTGCACTGAGCTGACTCTCAATGTCTTTTCCATAGTACTCCCAAGAATAAAATCTTTGCTTCTGCTAGGCTGATTGACTCACCTTTCTCAGATATGGTTTATGCATTACCCTCCCTGATTTTTCACAATGCTGTGAATTCTACTAAAATGACCTTCTTCATTTGCCTGATTTTCAAGGTTCAGCTCAAAGTCCCTCTTCTCTGTGAAGCTCCTCTTATAACCCTAGACTACTAATCTACCTTTTTCCAATTTCCTGCTCCTAGCTTAGCACTCAATTAGAAAATATTCTTATTTACACTTGCATTCATGTCCAAATCTGCATTCTTTCTTTTGAGCAACCAAACTAAACAACTAGCCAACAAACTAACATTTGATGAGCACTCACTTTTCAGTCACTGTATTGAACCAGGAGAATAGAAGAATGAATAATATTTCATTTATTTATTCAGAACTCTTAATATATCTCTCAGATAATACAAAAGTTTTTATTGAATAAATGAGTAACACATCACTAATATATTTGCTATTAAAAATGACCATTATTCCAAAGATGCTGTGGAGTTGATATATACACATAGGTAATACCACAGAAAAGTCATGTAAGAACTGGAAGATTTAAATCTCAATATAAATCCCAATCCCAGGTGTTGATTATTTTGAGAGTAAAACCAACAACCAATTTTAAAATCATATTTTCTAAAAAACACATTTCATTCTTCCCACTATTGCCAGTGCACCTGACAAGTAGACAGAAACCAATGATTTGCAAACACAGCAAACAATACATTATTGACAATTATTGATATCCAAGGTATTTGAATTCCAAAAATGCATCCTACAAGAAAATATGACTATCAAAACTATATATGCAAAGAAAGAAAACAAAACAACAGCTTGAGAACATATACACATTAAGTCCTACTACTTAAACACATGCAAACTATTGTATGACCCATTATTCTCAAAGTAGGTACCTTAAAGCTCTATGTTCCACATACCTGTCCAGTCTCCTACTATTTTAAGGTGGACCCCAAATGTTGCTTTGGTTTCAGTAGGACACTAAAAAACAAAAACAAAAACCTCTGGAATCAATTCTTAGTAATAGTTACGTATTACTAAACTATGATTTAATTACAATTTTCATTCTCATAGCAAGTCCCCAAAATCAATAGAAAATAGAAAGGAATGAACTAAAAATTGATATAGATCCTCATTAGTGGAAGTAAAAAGCACTGTTGACCCATCGATAAGTCAGTATACATTTCTCTAAAAACCCTATATAAAAAAATCTATATCTATATAAAAAATTACACATAGTCTAAAATTGTCAGTATATCACATTTAACAACAAATATTGCCAAAACACCTTTCGAGTTAAAATATTTAAGAGGACGGAGCTTTTAACCACAAAGGAAGAAATGGAGACTAATGATTTTAATGTCTTTTGCTCTCCAGATATTATTATACACTTCACATCTTAACAAATTCCAGGAATAAAGAAAAAAACATTTCCCAACGTGACCTGAGTTTTCCATGCCCAACAAGGAAACTCCTACTTAAAGAGTTCTATTTCCTTCCCTCCCTTAATTCTCAGAAGAAATAGTCTGGAGTGAACTGGCAAGGGTAGCTGGGAAGAAGAATGAGTGTGGCTACGGAAGTAAGAAAAATATCTGCGGCTCCACATTTACAAAATGTAGAAAACACCCACATCACTAAAATGAGAGAATAATTTTTGGCTCACAATAAGGAAATGCAGAATCTCCTTTTATTTTTCAGAACTTCAATCCCTCATCTGTAATCCCCAGATTCAAACGCTATGAAAAGTAAGTTTTTTCATAACTTATTTGGTGGCATTTATCTGACTTGAATTTATGGGAGGGTAATGATAGGAGGCTAATACCTCTGTATAAAAATTTATACAGAAGTGTTTTCCTACAGAATTATCCATTTGTTGGGGTGCCTGGGTGGCTCAGTCAGTTAAGAGTAGGCCTTCGGCTCACGTAATGATCCCGGGGTCCTGGGATTGAGTACTGCATCGGGCTCCCTCCTCAGTGGGGAGTCTGCTTCTCCCTCTCCTCCCTGTTCATGTTAGCTCTCTCTCCCTATCTCTCTGTCTCTCAAATAAGTAAATAAAATCTTAAAAAAAAGTATCCATTTGTTTAAGAATGTTACCGCATATCGTGCTAGAGATCTTATGTAATACACAAAACATACATACCTTTTAAAATCCACAAAATTCTGAATTCTGAAAACACATCTAATCTACGGGTTATGGATAAGAACTTTATACACACTATTATGTTTAACTGTATGATAAAAGTTCTTTCAACTGCCCACTTCCCTTTCTTATCACACAATATCTTGTCCTTTCCCGATTTTTACAGAAATTAGTCCCCCCTTTCCATTGCTAACTTCTCAAACCTGTAACTACCAAGCTTTCATTGAGTATCATGTGCCAAGGGCAGTGCCAAGTTCCTTATTTCCAAAATCTCACAATAACCCCTGTCTTTCATAGTTAGGGAAACTGAATAATTGATACTTAAAAATATGAACTTGCCCAAGATCATATGACTAGTAAGAAGATGAGACCGAGTCTGGATCCAAGTCTATCTGACTACGTAGTTCTTAACTATGGCAAGTCACTGTCTCCACTAAGGCAAACATGGAAAATGGGTAAGGGTCACATGAGAAATCAAATGGAGTAGGAGGAAGAAAAGTTATTTGTTGAAGATTACTAGAATCAACGTACAGCAATGAGAATTAAGGGGAAATATGAGCTGAAGTCATATGTGGTCCTGGGGGCCCTGTGATGGAGAATGGGTGCATTAAGCAAGTCAAGATCCTCAAGCTCACTGTGTCAGCCAACTAATGTAGGTCACATTGGAATGCTATAAGAAGAGGAAATAAAGGGAGATGAAGACACCGTGGAGAAATGTAAAGAACACACAGTCAAAAAAGAATGGAAGCTTGGAAACCAGTGAGAATACTAAAATAAAAATATAGGTATTGCCCACTTGTTCACCACAAATCAGAAATGTACTAAAAAGTACACGATGTAATAAATGGTCAGGGTTGGGAATTGATGTGACATGGAATTTCCAAACTACTCTTCTGCAATCAGTGTTTCTAACAGAATCATTACTGTATGATAAAAATATTAAAGGAAGTAAAAAATACTATAAAAATGATATTATTTAGGGATGCCTGGGTGGCTCAGTCAGTTAGGCGACTGCCTTCGGCTCAGGTCATGATCCCAAGGTCCTGGGATCAAGTCCCACATCAGGCTCCTTGCTCAGCGGGGAGCCTGCTTCTCCCTCTGCCTTCTGATCCCCCTGCTTGTGCTCTCTCTCTCTCTCTCTGACAAATAAAATTTTTAAAAAAAGATATTATTTAAATATTATTTGTACTATTAAAATGCTATTTCATTTATAATTGTGACTCTAATATTTATCTCATTTGCCTTCTGGTTTTTAATAACTCTGAGGTCATTAAGTTTTGTTCACTAGTATATCTTAATAATTATACCATTAGTAAGATGGTGTGATCTGTAAAACCACCCATCATTTTTACTTCATACTATTTAACACTGGCCAGAGCCTCTATGCAGTAAAATTTGTAGCTTGCAGAAAGCAAGAACCCCAACAGAGTCCCAAGCTACTAATCTGTTTGTCCATGAGTCACTTGATGTCTTCCTCATTGTGAACTAACCCTTAGATTATAAAAAGAAGATCTAAGCCAAGAAGGTATCAGAAGAGAGAGCAAAAAAGTTAGTCTTGGGGTGCCTGAGTGTGCATCCGACTTGATATAATCTCATATTCTAAAGGAAAACATATCTTCTCAAATATTCATATCTCTAAAGCCCATTTTTTCAGTGCAAACATTGTAAAAGAGACTCACATGTGATAACATCCCCTCCAGTCCTGTAGAAGCCTGCAAACCTCCCTCTTGTGAGGCTGGCCAAATGTATCAGTACAGTTTTTAAGGCTGATCTGATTTTGAATAGATAAAACATAATACTGTTTCTCTCGAACTCTGGGTATAATACCTTTATAAGTTACTGACACTTTTTCAAACTAACTAGGAAGAAGAACACAGAATTTAACATAGTCTTTGCCTAATCATATTGCCTCAAATTTGAAGGGGGCCTGCCGGATAAACACACAGAATGGTTTCAGCACGTGTGGTTTGAAACAATGACTGGAGATCTTAGAATCAGCTTTGCACAAAAAATGTTCAGATTCACTAATGTTGCTTAAACATAGTGTAGTGATTCTTTAATGCTTCCTCACTATCTTAATTTTTTTTTAATTTTTAAAAAGTTTTATTCAAATTCCAGTTAGTTAACATACAGTGTGATATTAGTTTTAGTTTTAGGTGTACAATACAGTGATTCAACACTTCCATACATCACCAGGTGCTCATCACAAGTGCCCTCCTTAACTCCCAACACCTGTTTCCCCATCCCCCCTCCCCTCCTCCCCTCTGGTAACCACCAGTTTGTTCTCTATAGTTAGGAGTCTGTTTCCAGGTTTCTCTCTCTCTCTTTTTTTTCCCTTCACTTGTTTGTTTTGTGAAATCATATGATACTTGTCTTTCTGTGACAGACTTATTTTGCTTAGCATAATACTCTTTAGCTCCACCTATGTCATTGCAAATGGCAAGATTTCATTCTTTTTCATGGCTGAATAATATTTCTGTGTGTGTGTGTACACCAAACTGGACAGCAAGATGCAAAAGAATGAAAAAAGACCAAGACCACTTTCTTACACCATGCACAAAACTAGATTCAAAATGGATGAAAGACCTAAATGTGAGACAGGAGACCATCAAAATCCTAGAGGAGAACACAGACCTTTTTGACATCGGCCATAGCAACTTCTTTCTAGATATGTCTCCTCACTATCTTTTTAATAGTGCTTAAAAAAACTTCTCAAAGAAAAGAAATAGTAAAGTACAGATATCTATGGCTATCTACCTCCCCTAGAACATTAAGAAGGAAATATGCTTATGACAAGTTTTCAGTTTAAAAAGTTTCAGGATAATATGTGTACTTAAGCTTATATTATTAAAATAAAAACAGATATGAATGTTTCTTCCTATACAGAGAAATAAGTTGAAAAGAATACATAATATTGCATTAGGAATATTAACTTCTGGGAAGCAAAACTGAAGACAAAATGAGAAGTCATTTTGTATACCTCTCCTTTCTAAATTTATTATTAGCCTTTGTAATGTTTATAATTTTAAATATTTTAAAAACATAATTTAAAATGTAAACAATAAGACATTGCTGAGTCTCAACTTAGTCTCACTTAAGTTTCCTAGATGAAGAGAAAGAGTATGGCTCATGTTGACCATAATATATGTACCAAAATATACATCACCCAGTTTAAGGATAAGAAAATAAAGTGACCAAATTTGTACGAAAGAACGGATCTGGAGGAATTTCTATTTTGATATCCTTGAGTAGAAATGTTTTCCTTCAAATTATTTGTTCAATATGGCATTGAGTTTTTTAAAGTGCTCAAATGACCAATGATTTTATAACAGTCCCACAAAAATATAAACAGATATTACATAATCATCTTACATTTGAGAACGACATGTAAAAATGATATCACTGCACAATGATCTATTCAACATGGAAAAGAAATTTAAAAGCCACAGTGTGTTTGTTTTTAAATCAAGAACCTTGCAATAATAAAAAAATGATTCTAAAGTAGATGTTACTATATTAAACATTCTATTTTCAATATAACAAATTTCTTAAGCCAGAGAAAATGATCACAGAATATGAGTCTTTAATCATTATTGTCAAGTTTTATTTCTAACCCCTTCTTCCAAAGCTCTAGTTTCTATGCCTGCTAGATTTTTCCACCTGAAATTTACTCTATATTTAAAATTATCTCATTATCTTACTTTTCAAATTGTCTTCTCTTTCTGATTCTCTTACTCTGGACATAGAACCTATGCCCTTATCAGAGCAGGAGCTCAAATCGCAGAGGAATATCATATATATCTCTCCCTGCCAGCATTCAATCAATTTTCAAGTCCTCTAA